TGACTTTGATACACGGACCAGACAACTCTTTTGCAAATGACCCATAAGAAGCTTTTGCTCACCTTCCTCAGCCTGTTTGCAACCAGGCTCCTTGTGAGTGGATGGGTAGTTCCACAGACAAAACAGAATGTATAGGCAACCCCAGCAAAAGCCATAAAACAAGATATCCTGTGCCTGTCCGTTGCTAGCCCTGATGACCCCATTTCCACCTGCCTAGTAGGGTTATCTATGGATGTGGCTGATAACTGAGGATGCCATCCATAGTATGTGAGGTGACAATCCTGACAGCAAATGGAAATGCAGCTCTGTCGACACCTGGGACTACTGGACCCAGAAGATCCTGCATGCACCACTTGAACCCCAGGAGCTAGAAATTCTCAGCTCTGTAAAAATGGACTTTTGTGTAAAGTTTTATTACTGACTGAGATAGGAAGAGGGTGAAGGACCCAAAATTACAAGAGAAAGAGAAACTAGCAGGAGGGACATTTCCCCATACCATCCCACTTACAAAAATCAGGGCTGACGGTGCAATTACACCTCTTCTATCATTTCTTGGTCCAGTAGCTACCCACTCCAGTTGCCACAGGGTGTGTTTCTTATTTGCAGGGACAGAGCATGGCCCAGTGTTGCTTCACACATCAAAGGCGGACCTTGCAGCTTGGGGAGGCTTACCTTGCTGGCACCCAACACGAAAATGATTCATAGCCAGAGAGACAGAGTGAAAAGATCTATGCACTACTTTGAATCTGATTGCAAAGACAGTGTTATGTATTGGAGTAAAAACAAGCTAATAGCAGCCTCCATCTTGTTCCCTTGGGTGGCTGCAGCCAAAGCCTTAGTGATAGTATAGGGATAAAATGTTTCTAAAACCATGGAATATTCAGGGGAGTTAGAAAGGAAGGATAGGCCTGGTAGGCCCTGGGAAAATGTTAAGGTAGGCCCTGGGAAAATGTTAGGCTGCACCTGTATAATTATTTAATGACTATGATAAATGATATGATTGTTAGATGCAATGATTTTTTGGTAATTGGATATAATTATTGTTTAATCATTACAAGAATAATGAGAAACTATGTTGGCGGCGTTTGATGGAAATTACAAAAATCCATGATTGGATGAAATCAATGTATACAATAGAACAATATAAGTTTAATAATTAATATGTAGTTATATAAGGATAAGGGTACAAAAATATCTTCATCCTGAACCCATGTCAGAGTCAGATTTGGGTTTGTACCCATGACACCCAGAGCTCTTCAATAAAAGCACCTGCATATAATCATTCTGTGATTATGTGTTCCTGAACGATAACATTAGGACAATTAGACCATCTTGGGTGCCTGCTAAGTAAGCAAACCAATGCTACCTCCCTTGCCTGATCTCAGACGTAGATACCATCAGACACACCACCCTGCAGAACAGGGCAGCAATAGACTTGCTACTTTTGGCACATGAGCACAGCTGTGAGGACTTTGAAGGAATGTGTTGCATGAACCTCTCCAGCCACAGCGAGTCAATCCACAACAGCATTCAAGTGCTGAGGGAAGGGTTCAAGAAGCTTCAAGTGGAAAACAAAGACTGGTTGAATAAACTCTTCTAATCCTGGGGACTGAAGGGTTGAATGATGTCTTTAGTCAAGAGGGGCTGCTGGTTTTCTTGGTTGCTGTTATTGTGGTGTTGGTTGTTCCATGCTTATTTGGATGTTTTTATAGAGTTTTGCAAAGTTCTTTCAGTTCCATTTTTGTTAGAAAACAGAAAGGGGGATATGTGGGAATTGGCCCAGCTGTGACTCGAAGTCAGCCAGATTTTACCCCAAAAGAACAGGGCATTAGTTTCAAGCCCTGGGAATTATTTAACTTAGGGCGAGCCTGAGAGTTCCCCCAAAAGCCCTTGGTGTTATTATGTTGTCCAAGTTCTGCTCCCTTATTGATTACTTGTTTCCCCTATATAGTTATAGTTCCAGAATGTTCCAACCCCAAGTGTATATGTTGCTGCTTTCCCTTTGTTTTGGGTCTCTGGATGCTGCCCTCATACTGTGCTCAGCTACTCCACGTTTGCTGTTTCCCACCCTTTATTAAAGTTCTTTCCAGGCAACTCCATCGAACCTGCTCTTTCTCATTTTCTCCACCTGAAGTTAGGGAACCAAAGAGGTTTGTTGCAACCACCCTCACCACGACAGTGATGGATCTTAATCACTGCTGCAATCTTTGGTGGTGATGGTTGGGTGCATTGCTGAGCTTCTTCTTCTGTGATTCTTTGCTGCTTTGAACTACAGTAAATGACAATGATTCTTTCAGTTCGTGTTTGTGTCTTTGGTGCTGACCCTGCCCACTGGTAAAACAAAATTGGCACAGTCTGGCCAGATCACAACAAAATGTCACTTCTTAAATGTAAATTTAAGGAATCTGTCCCATCTGAAATTCGCTGATGGGAAGCCCTTCCCTGGAGTTCGCTAACTCTGGAGTGGGCTGAGGTCAGAACACCGTGTGAGCAGTGGGGCAGTCAGTTTAAAGAAGCTGAACCACTGGATGTATTAAAATGCATCCAAAAATTGCATATGAAGAAAGGAAAACAACTTGTGGATGGGTAAAGATGAGGATGAATTCTGTTAACAGCATATTGGAAACAGCACCAATAGAAGGAATGGTTGTTGGAACACTCTCACATGAAGCGACAGCAGAAGTTTTTCATCTTGAGCTTGTATTAATTTGTTCAAGTGAAAGAATATTAATATAATAAGTAACTATATACATAAATGTAATACAATTTTAATATATATTTATAAACATTTTTGTCTAACAAAATGTCTATCTAAATCTATATCTTTATCTATATATAAAATAATAATGTGAAATAATGCTGACAATTCTGATTTACCACCTTTGGCTGCTCAAGGATCTAGCACTAAATATCCTACAGAAAAGCATTGGCCAGGACCCGAATGTCAGTGGCAAACTTTGTGAGGTTGTATACAACAAATAAAGGAGGAAGGGATGAAACTGGCTATTTTTATGGGGTTTGCTCATACTGTGATGTGGAATGCTTTGTGTGTTACTGTGAAAAATACAATTATTAAGACTGCTGGGTTTTTCATACACCAGACTATCGACAATCCACAGGATTGACTGAATGGCTAAAGGGGTTGTTCAAAGAGCAGCTGAAAAAAGGAGGAGATGGGTACCTGTCCCCATGGAGAATCCATCTCTCAGATGTGCTCTATACCTTTAACAAGGGTACAAGGGGCCCCCCGGGAAATGGAAACCCCCTGGATGTGCATGGCTGCACCCAATTTGCAAATACAACCATGGACAGTGATGCTTTAACTTCCTGAGAAATTATTCTGGGTGTGATGGCCCCTGACAGGGTCTGCCCAAAGGCTGCAGGGCTGGACCTGAATTAGAATTAGAATTCATTAGGATAAATCAAAAGCAAATGAGAGTTATCAATACTGACATAGGAACTCCAGTTCCTCCAGGACACTTTGGTTTGACAACTCCTCACTGGAGCTTGGCTTTGAAAAGCGTTCGTGTCATGGGAGAAGGAGTTGATGGAGATTATCAAGGAGGAATTAAAGTAATTAAAGTCACTAAACAATAGTGAATAAGGTGATTATTCAACTCCATGACAGGGTAGCACAGTTATTGATAGTGCAGTTTTGAAAACAATTGTGAAAAAAGGAGATGCACCTCCAATGATCACTGTTGCTGGAGATAAAGGATTTGGATCCAGCAGTCCTAATAATGGAGCCAAAGTGTGGGTCCAGAGGCCAAAAGGCCCTCCCAATCCAGCTGAAGGAACAGCTGTAGGGAAAGACAACACTATTTGAATCCTGAAACCAAAATCACCGAGAAAAGGCTAAAATCACCCATGCGGGCTTAAGATCTATGCATATGGGCTTAAAATCATCCAAAGGGACCTAAAATCCACACTAAATGCTTGAAATCACTCCAAGAGATCTAAAACCCACCCTAAACCTGCCCAGATTGGCCTAAAATCACCAAAATTAGCCTAAAATCTCAGGGACTGAGACCGAGACTGGCACCAGAACTGATACCAGAACCAAGACCAGCACTGCTCTGGGACAGGCACCATTACTGGGACCGAGACTGAAACTGAAACTGGCACCAGAACTGGCACTGGGACCAAGACTGAGACCAAGACCGACACTGGGACTGCCATCGGGAGTGCTTCAGAACCAGGACTGGCACTGGGAGTGCTCTGGGACCAGAACCGGCACCAGAACTGAGACCGGCACTGACACCAGGACTTCTCTGGCACTGGGACCAGGATGGAGACCAGCCAGAGCACTGCGGGACTGACACCGAGACCAGCACTGGAACCAGCACTGAGACTGGCAGCACTCTGGGGCTGGGACTGAGAGTGCACAAGGAGCACTCCAGGACCAAGACCGGCACAGGTACCAGCACTAGAACCAGGACAACTCAAGAGACAGAGATTGAGACCAGAACTGAAACCAGAAGCGGCACTGGCACCGAAACTGGCACCGCTCTGGGACTCAGACTGAGACCGGGACCAGCACAGCTGCAGGACTGGGATCAACACTGGGACGGGAATTAGCACTAGAAGCGCTCCAGGAGTGCTCTGAGACTGGTAGTGACACCAGAACCGGGACTGGGACTGACACTGGGAGTGCTCCTGGACGGAGACTGAGACCAAAACTGGGAACAGGATTGGCACTGAGATCACTACAGGACCTCTGTCTTCACTCCGGAGAGTTTTGGCTGTGCCCCCATGCAGGACTGGGAGGGATCCCTGGGTGGGGTGGGACTGCCTAGTTTGCATTGTTCTGGTGCAGCCATCCCAGTCCATATGATCCCAGTCTGTACAATCCCAGTTTATACAATCCCAGTCCATACGATCCCAACCTATACAATCGCATTCACACCAAGGAAAAGGTGTTCCTGCCCTTCAAGACAAAGCTCTTAGGAAGGGGCCGAAAGCCAAGTAGAGCAAGATGCTACAGTGACATTTCACTACCAGCCTTCATAACTTCATCAATCATTGTTGTAGCTCTTGCACTGAGAATTAAATCAGGGAAGCGTCTTTGGTGGCAGCTGCCCTGGCTCAAGGGAGGCACTGAGAAAGAGAGAGGCAGGAGAGAAAGGAGGACCAAACAAAATCAGCTGAGAAGGTGGCACTCTGGAAACAGAATTGCAACTCACTGAAAATGAATAGGACAGAAATTAGTAACTCTGAAGTATTTATTTACTATCAAATACATCCCACCCACCCAGCTGCACACAATCCCGATCCACCGCTCCAAATTTGGATCCCACTTCTCCCAATCTCCTTCCAACCCCTTCTCCCCATGGCAGCTGTGGAATCAAGTGAGCCCAATCTCCTTCCAACCCCTTCTCCCCATGGCAGCTGTGGAATCAAGTGAGTTTGGCATAGGATTGATATTTTTGAGGAGAGAACAAGCAATTCTGAGTTGGGATTGAGCCCTTTTGGGGTACAACTGTATGGTTTTCAGTGGGATTGAGTTGTTTTGAGGAGACAGGTTGATCCCTTTTGGTTTCTGCAGTGCAAAGAGAAGGAAAACACTGCCCAAAATTCTCCCAGAACCCACAAATCCTCCAGATTACATCCCCAAATCCTAAATTCCCCCTCAAACAACTGTGAAATGGTGGGACTTTAGATATCTTTGATCAGTTTCTTTCTTTTTAACCCTGTTTTGGCTGTTTTTAAGGGATGAAAATGAATCAGAAGAAAATGAAGGCCAAAACAAAAGGATAAGCAGCTAGGTGCCTTCCCAACATGGATCACAGCAAATGTGGGTCACCAGGGCTCTTCCCAACAAGGGTCCTCCAGTGGGGGATGGAGTTGGAGCAGCACACGAAGCTCTTCCTGAAATCGGGGCACTCGCAGGGCTTCCCTTAGCGGTGCCTCCGTCGGTGCTCAGTCAGGGCTGAGCGCTGTGAGAAGCTCTTCCCACACTGGGAACACTTGTACGGCCTCTCTCCGGTGTGGATGCGCCGGTGGGTCATCAGGGTGGAATTGTGCTTGTAGCCCTTCCCGCAGTCGGGGCAGCGGAAGGGCCTCTCGTCTGAGTGAATCCGTTGGTGGTTGATGAGGTGAGAGTTGTACATGAAGCCCTTCCCACAGTCGGGGCAGCGGAAGGGCCTCTCCTCTGTGTGAATCCGATGGTGCACGAGGAGATGTGAGCTGATCCGAAACCCCTTCCCACACTCTGAACACTTATAGGGCCTCTCCCCGGTGTGGATGTTCTGGTGCTGGACCAGGTTGGCACGCTGGCTGAAACCCTTCCCACATTCCCTACACTTGTAGGGCCTTTCTCCAGTGTGGATGTTCCGGTGCTGGATCAGGTTGGTGCTCTCTCTGAAGCTCTTCCCACATTCCCCACACTCGTAGGCCCGCTCCCCAGTGTGGATCCTCTGGTGGCGGATCAGGTGGGAGCTCCGGCTGAAGTTCATCCCACATTCCTCACACTCGTGGGGCCGTTCCCCAGTGTGGATGCGCCGGTGCCTGACAAGATGGGAGTTTTGCCTGAAGCCCTTCCCACAGTCGGAGCAGTGGAAGGGCTTCTCATCGGTGTGCGTGCGGGTGCACCAGGAGACTAAAGCTTAGCTTAAACCTCTTCCTGCATTGATCACACTCGTAGGGCCTCTCCCCAGTGTGGATCACCTGGTGACGGATCAGGGTGGAGCTCCGGCTGAAGCTCTCCCCACATTCCCCACACTCGTAGGGCTGTTCTCCAGTGTGGATAATCTGGTGGCGGATCAGGCTGAAGCTGACTCTGAAGCTCTTCCCACATTCCCCACACTCAAATGGCCGTTCCCCTGTGTGGGTCCTCTGGTGCTGAATCAGGCTGGAGCTCCAGCTGAAGCTCTTCCCACACTCCAAGCACTTGTGGGGCTTGTCCCCATCATGAAGCTGGTCATGGACCACAAGGTCCAAGCTCTGGCCCGATTTCTGGCCACCTTCCTGGCCCAGGTTGGGTCTTTCCTCCTCAGATCTCTGCAATCTACGTTTGCAGCCCCTCCTTGTGTGGGGTCTCCGGGGATTTTCTTTCCCCTTTGATTCCTGTGCTGTGGAGCTGCACAAAACGGCCTCTTCCACAAGGTTCTGCCACGGGGATTTCTCCTCCCTGGCCTCCATCTGCAGCTCCTTGTCTGGAGGAAGAAGGGCAAGGAGAGGATGGGATTTGCCTCCGTGCCACAGGGAAGGGCAAGGAGAGCCCCCCAGTGCATCCCCAGTAGAACGGTGTCAGCAGTGGGGTTTGTCCTGCATCTGGGGGCATGCTGGACTGGGAGATGGAGCAGGAGAGAGAGGGAAAGGGGCACTGACTTCCTCCTTACCTGCCTGGGTGTCCCGTGGCATCTTCCTCGTCCTTGCACCCGCCTTCTCCATCCAGCCAAGGGTTGGAAATGGGAAATCCTGGTTTGGGGGAAAACAAGGGATGAGCATGTCGAGTTTGAAGGTCTCTCTGCCCAAGTCCATCTCTGGAAGTCACCGAGCATCTGGGGTCCATGGAATCCTCCAGAATACCAAGATTCATCCCTGAAAACTCTCCCAGGAGATCCCCATCTCTGGTCTCTCCACTTTGGTCTTTGGGGATTCCTCCCTGTCCCAGCTGTTCAGTGTCACACTCGTATTGTGGGTCTCCCTTCTCCTCGGTCCCTGTCCTCCCCAGGCTGCTGTGAATCACAGGAATCCGAAATGTTTCCCCCTCCTCGGTCTCCCCATTTAGGGATGCCAGGGGTTTTTCGGGTCCCAGGGTCCCTTCTCCCCTCATTCTCTGCTCTGGGCTGCAGGAGCTCCAAGGAGTCCCCCCTGCCCCTCTCCAGGCTGTTGAGGGTCCTGCCAATGGCAGCGCTCCCCCCTCTCTGGCTCCCCACTTTGGGCTCCTGGGGGACACAGGGCTCTGCTCCTCCAGGCTGCCTCTGCACCCCCCAGTGTCCCCCCAAGGGGCCTTTTCCGCTCACCTTTGGAGTTCTTCATTCTCCAAACATCCACCCCCCCCCCCCCCCCCCCAAACAAAAAACAAACGCCAACAAGGGTGCTCCAGTGGGGGATGGAGTTGGAGCAGCACACGAAGCTCTTCCTGAAATCGGGGCACTCGCAGGGCTTCCCTTAGCGGTGCCTCCGTCGGTGCTCAGTCAGGGCTGAGCGCTGTGAGAAGCTCTTCCCACACTGGGAACACTTGTACGGCCTCTCTCCGGTGTGGATGCGCCGGTGGGTCATCAGGGTGGAATTGTGCTTGTAGCCCTTCCCGCAGTCGGGGCAGCGGAAGGGCCTCTCGTCTGAGTGAATCCGTTGGTGGTTGATGAGGTGAGAGTTGTACATGAAGCCCTTCCCACAGTCGGGGCAGCGGAAGGGCCTCTCCTCTGTGTGAATCCGATGGTGCACGAGGAGATGTGAGCTGATCCGAAACCCCTTCCCACACTCTGAACACTTATAGGGCCTCTCCCCGGTGTGGATGTTCTGGTGCTGGACCAGGTTGGCACGCTGGCTGAAACCCTTCCCACATTCCCTACACTTGTAGGGCCTTTCTCCAGTGTGGATGTTCCGGTGCTGGATCAGGTTGGTGCTCTCTCTGAAGCTCTTCCCACATTCCCCACACTCGTAGGGCCGCTCCCCAGTGTGGATCCTCTGGTGGCGGATCAGGTGGGAGCTCCGGCTGAAGTTCATCCCACATTCCTCACACTCGTGGGGCCGTTCCCCAGTGTGGATGCGCCGGTGCCTGACAAGATGGGAGTTTTGCCTGAAGCCCTTCCCACAGTCGGAGCAGTGGAAGGGCTTCTCATCGGTGTGCGTGCGCTGGTGCACCAGGAGACTAAAGCTGAGCTTAAACCTCTTCCTGCATTGATCACACTCGTAGGGCCTCTCCCCAGTGTGGATCACCTGGTGACGGATCAGGGTGGAGCTCCGGCTGAAGCTCTTCCCACATTCCCCACACTCGTAGGGCTGTTCTCCAGTGTGGATAATCTGGTGGCGGATCAGGCTGAAGCTGACTCTGAAGCTCTTCCCACATTCCCCACACTCAAATGGCCGTTCCCCTGTGTGGGTCCTCTGGTGCTGAATCAGGCTGGAGCTCCGGCTGAAGCTCTTCCCACACTCCAAGCACTTGTGGGGCTTGTCCCCATCATGACGGCTGAAGTTCATCCCACATTCCTCACACTCGTGGGGCCGTTCCCCAGTGTGGATGCGCCGGTGCCTGACAAGATGGGAGTTTTGCCTGAAGCCCTTCCCACAGTCGGAGCAGTGGAAGGGCTTCTCATCGGTGTGCGTGCGCTGGTGCACCAGGAGACTAAAGCTGAGCTTAAACCTCTTCCTGCATTGATCACACTCGTAGGGCCTCTCCCCAGTGTGGATCACCTGGTGACGGATCAGGGTGGAGCTCCGGCTGAAGCTCTTCCCACATTCCCCACACTCGTAGGGCTGTTCTCCAGTGTGGATAATCTGGTGGCGGATCAGGCTGAAGCTGACTCTGAAGCTCTTCCCACATTCCCCACACTCAAATGGCCGTTCCCCTGTGTGGGTCCTCTGGTGCTGAATCAGGCTGGAGCTCCGGCTGAAGCTCTTCCCACACTCCAAGCACTTGTGGGGCTTGTCCCCATCATGAAGCTGGTCATGGACCACAAGGTCCAAGCTCTGGCCCGATTTCTGGCCACCTTCCTGGCCCAGGTTGGGTCTTTCCTCCTCAGATCTCTGCAATCTACGTTTGCAGCCCCTCCTTGTGTGGGGTCTCCGGGGATTTTCTTTCCCCTTTGATTCCTGTGCTGTGGAGCTGCACAAAACGGCCTCTTCCACAAGGTTCTGCCACGGGGATTTCTCCTCCCTGGCCTCCATCTGCAGCTCCTTGTCTGGAGGAAGAAGGGCAAGGAGAGGATGGGATTTGCCTCCGTGCCACAGGGAAGGGCAAGGAGAGCCCCCCAGTGCATCCCCAGTAGAACGGTGTCAGCAGTGGGGTTTGTCCTGCATCTGGGGGCATGCTGGACTGGGAGATGGAGCAGGAGAGAGAGGGAAAGGGGCACTGACTTCCTCCTTACCTGCCTGGGTGTCCCGTGGCATCTTCCTCGTCCTTGCACCCGCCTTCTCCATCCAGCCAAGGGTTGGAAATGGGAAATCCTGGTTTGGGGGAAAACAAGGGATGAGCATGTCGAGTTTGAAGGTCTCTCTGCCCAAGTCCATCTCTGGAAGTCACCGAGCATCTGGGGTCCATGGAATCCTCCAGAATACCAAGATTCATCCCTGAAAACTCTCCCAGGAGATCCCCATCTCTGGTCTCTCCACTTTGGTCTTTGGGGATTCCTCCCTGTCCCAGCTGTTCAGTGTCACACTCGTATTGTGGGTCTCCCTTCTCCTCGGTCCCTGTCCTCCCCAGGCTGCTGTGAATCACAGGAATCCGAAATGTTTCCCCCTCCTCGGTCTCCCCATTTAGGGATGCCAGGGGTTTTTCGGGTCCCAGGGTCCCTTCTCCCCTCATTCTCTGCTCTGGGCTGCAGGAGCTCCAAGGAGTCCCCCCTGCCCCTCTCCAGGCTGTTGAGGGTCCTGCCAATGGCAGCGCTCCCCCCTCTCTGGCTCCCCACTTTGGGCTCCTGGGGGACACAGGGCTCTGCTCCTCCAGGCTGCCTCTGCCGGCAGCCATCACTGGCACCCCACAATGTCCCCAAAAGGGGCCTTTTCCACTCAGCTTTACAGTTCTTCATTCTCCAAACATCCCCCTCAAAAAAACCCAACCCACGGAGCCCCCAGAATATCTGGGCCGAGGTCCCCCTTCCCTGTCACCTGCAGGATGGGGCGGGGGGCAGGGGTGATGATCCCACCGGTGGGGGGACTGCAAATTCAGGGAGCGCTCAACCTCATGGTTCCTTCTCCTTTCCTTGACCCTCTTCTGTTCCTCCTCTTCCTCCTCCTCCCTCTCCTCCTCTTCCATCCCTCCTCCTCCTCCTGCCTAAGCCCATCTCCTTCTCCTACTTCCATCCCTTCTCACTCTCCTTCCTCATCCCTCCTCCTCCTCCCCCAGCAGCAGTGCCCCCCTCGCTGCCCCGTTCCCGCAGCCCTCGCAGCCCGCGGCAGGAGCGGGGCTGGAGCCGGGACAGCTCGGCATGGGCAGCGCGGGGCTCTCGGCTGCTCCCACCCGCTGGGGGCGGGGGGAACCCAATCTGGGCAAAAGGAGAGGGAAACTGGGAAAAGTGGGGGCTGCAGATCCACACTGGGGCTTGCTGGGGACCCTGGCTGGGGACTGCCAGCCCTTGGGGCTCCTCTCGAGAGATCCGTGAGGGGGAAAGGCAGAGAGGGCTGGGGGATCCCAGGAGTGGCTTTACTGGCAGGGACTATGCTGTACTGGGGTAACTGGTAACTTACTGGGGCAACTGGGAATGACTGGGAATTACTACAAGCATGCTGAGAGCAACTGGGGTATACTGGGAGTGTCTGTAACCATAGGGTGACTGGAACCCCACTGGGAACAACGGGAACCATGCTGGCGACAACTGGGATGACAATTTTGGCAACTGGAAGTGAATGGGGGTGGCTGGGTCTGCACTGACAGTAACTGGGACCATGCTGGAAGGGACTGGGATCATCCACAGTGTCACTAGGGCTACATTAGGGACAACTGGCATCACACTGGGAGGAACAGGGACAAACTGGAACCATGCTGGGGGCAACTGGGATCACAGTTGAAGCAGCTGGGCCCATGCTGGGGCAGACTGGGATCATAGTGGATCATACTTGCAGCAACTGGGAGGTGACTGGGAGTGGCTGTGATCAAATGGGATCAGGCTGGAAGCAACTCTAGGAATCTGGGAGTGACTGGGAACATGATGAGACCAACTGGGTTATACTGGGAGAGACTGAAACCATAGTGGGGGTAAAGGGGAGCGACTAGAATCATGCTGAGTGATAATGGCAGGAGGTGTGCCTATGTCAGAGTCATACTGGGATCATATTGGGAGTGAGTGCAATAGTACTGAGAGTATCTAAGAGTGACTGGGATCCTACTGCAATCAGACTGGGAGTGACTGGAAAGGTGTTTGCCATGACTGGAACCATACTGGAGGTCACTGAGAGCAACTGGGACCACACTAGGAGTTACAGGGAGTGACTCTGGGCATGACTGGAATAATACTGGGAGGATCTAGGAGTCACTGAATGCAACTGGGATCATACTAGGAGTGACTGGGATCATACTGGAAGTGACTGGAACCATACTGGCAGTATGACTGACTATGGGTTCTGCTGGGATCAACCTGGGAGCCACTAGGATTACAATGGGCGTGAATGGAACCTGACTGGGGGTTACTGAGAGCTACTGGGCCCATTTTGGGAGGAAAATGTGGACATATTGGGAGCAACTGGGATCAACTGGAAGGTGCTGGAACCATGCTGAGGCAACTGAGACCACAACTGGGATCATACTGGAAGCAACTGGGACCACACTTTGGGCAACAGACAAAAACTGGAATCATGGTAGAGGCAACTGGGAGTAACTGGAAAAGACTGGGATCATTCTCAAGTAACTAGAGCCTCACTGGGGCAACTGGGAGTGTCTGTAACCATGCTAGGAATAACTGGTACAACACTGGGAACAGCTGGGACCATGCTGGGGATGACTGGGACTACTCTACAGGAAACTGGAAGTGATTGAATCTACATTGGGGGACACTGGGTGTGACAGGGACCATGCTGAGAGGGACTGGGACTATTCTAGGGGCAACTGGGATCATACTTGTAGGAACTAGGAACAACTGGAACTATGCTGGGGGCAACTGGGATCATACTGAGGGTGACTGGATCATACTGGGATTGACTAGGAGCGGCTGTAGGAAACTGGAATTGTGCTGAAAGCAACTGGGAGGAAGTGGGAGTGACTGGGAGCATGCTGGGGGTGACTGGGATACACTGGGAGAGACAGAGATTCACTGGGATCACACTGGAGGCTACTGGGGTCATGCTGGCACTGACAGGGAGCAACTGGGATCACACTGGGGGCCACTGGCATCAGACTGGGAGTGACTGGAATTAGACTGCAAGTGACTGGGATCATACTGGGAGTGGCTACAATCATACTGGGATTAGAGTGCGTGTCATTGGACCCTGACTGGGGGTTACTGGGAGCTACCCTTGCTGAGAGCCAAGAGGGGATGCACTCAGAAGAACTGGGAGCAACTGGGATAAAAATAGGGGCAAGTAAACCATGAGGTTCACTGAGGTAACTAGAAGTGCCTGGTAATAACTATCAGAAAGTTCAGTGTACCTGAAATATACTGGAAGTGTCTGACATCATAGAAGTAATGCCTGGGACCAAACTGGGAGTGGCTGGGAATGCTCTGGGGGACCTGGGGTCATGGTGGGGGCAAGTGTGAGTGACTGGGGCCCTGCTGGGAGAGACTGGGACCATACTGGAAGGACTAGGACTATGCTTGGGGCAACTGGGAGAACTGGGAACACGCTAGATGAAAGTGGGAGCAACTTGCAGAAAGTGGGACCTTGCTGGGGGCAAATTGCATCATCAATAGGGAATGACTGGGAGGGACTGGGCTCATACTGGGAGTGCCCAGGAAACTGGAAACAGGGGGAGCAACTGGGCTCATAGAGGGAGCAGCCACTTCCAGCACCAGGAACCCTGAACCCCATTCCCAGCCATCCCATCCACGAGGGTCCCGTGAATCCCAAGAGTCTCTCCCTCTCAGGGACCCCGCTTTGGCCTTCTGGGGCTCTCCTCTCTCGGGGCTCCCACTCAGGGAAACCACAGCTCTCCCAGGGCTCCCCAAAACCAACGTCCCCCCACCAGGACTCTGCTGCCACCCACACCAGGACCCCCCAAAAACACCTCCCGGGGACCCCCCAAAGGGGCACCTGCAGCTCGTCTTCAGAGCCCCGCAAGCTCCAACCATTCCCCCAAAAATCCCTAAACCTGGGGACCCCCTGGCATATTTGGGCTGAGCTCCCCCTCCCCAGGCACCGGTGATGCTCCCAGGGCTGCGGTGAGTTCAGGAACCGCCAGGGCCACGCGATTCCCCCCTCTCCTCTTCCTCTGCTGCTTCCTGCTGCCTCTCCGCCTCTTCCTCCCTCCCTCCTCCTCCTCCCCCGTTCCTGAACCCTGAACTGTGAGGGGAAATGGGTCATGCGGTCCTAAAAGGGCCCAATTTGGCCTAAAATCACCCTAAAGGGCCTCATATGCCGCAGGAACCCACCAGGTTTGGCCTAAAATCAGCCAAATGTGATTACAATTATCCAAAGGGGTCTAAAATCTAAACAAATGGGCCTAAAATTGCCCAAAGTGGTTTGCGACCCACACAAAATGGCCTAAAATCACCCTAAATTTCCCAAATGGGCTTAAAATCCACCCTGAAAGTATCTCATTTTGCCTAAAATGACCCAAATGTGACAAAATTCACCCTAAAATCCACCTAGTTTTTATCAAAATCACCCACAGGGACCTAAAATTACCCAAACACGCCTGAAGCCCGCAGAAGAGGACACAAACTCACCGTAAAAAGACTTGGTTCAACCTAAAGTTAACAAAAGAAGCCAAAAATTTAACCAAATGGGCCCAAAAACCACCAAAACAAGCGACCTAAAATCAGCCATGCAGGATTAAGATTCACCCATAAGGCCCTAGAAACAGCCAAAAGGACCCAAAATCCACACTAAAAGACTTGAAGTGACTCCAAAGGATCTGAAACCCACTCCAAACATGCCCAGTTTGGCCTAAAATCACCCAAATGGGCCAGGAGTGAGGCCGAGACCGGGATTGGCACCAGGATCAGAACCAGGATCGCTCGGGGACTTCTGCGTGTGGCCGCACCCCGGGACAGGACTGAGCTGAGAATGGAAGGACCAGGGCTTTTGGGAGGGATTTTGGGGACATCGAGCTTTTTTGGGCTTTGGGAAATTTTGTCAGGGGGTTTAGGGGAAATTATTGGGTTTTTTGAAGAGCATTATAGGGTTTTGGGGGAGCTGCGGAATTTTGAGGGGTTTGGATTTTGGTTTTATTGGTGCTTTGGGGGGTTGTTTTTTTGGGGATGTTTGGGAGTTTATTGAAATTTTTTGGGTTGTCTTTAAATTTTGGTGGGATTTACTGGGATTTTGCTAGATTCTCTGGAGTTTTTCATGGTTTTACTGGAATTTTTAGGGATTTTGGGGGCATTTAGTGGGATTCTTTGAGGGTTTGGGGTTTTTTTGCGATTTTTTTGGGGGGGATTTTGGTGGGGTTTTTTTGGGTGTTGCCAGGATTTCTTTGGGTCTTGGGGGGATTTTGTGGGACTTTTTGTGGTTTTGGGAACTTTTTGGGGGATTTGTGGGGTTTAAATGGGATTTTGAGCGGTTTGTTAGGATTTCAAGAGATTTTGTGGGCTTTTATTGAAATTCTAGAGTATTCTAATGGGATTTTGCAGGTTTTATAGGGACTCTTCGGGGTTTTAGGGAGATTTTGGTGCCTTTCAGCCCTTCCCTGCACCTGGGGACAACACCAAAGCCCCCCCCAGATGCCCAAAAGCCCCCCAAAGTTCCACTAAAAACAAAACCCTCTAAAAATCCCAATAAAACCCCCGAAAACACCAGAGAATCCCTCAAAATCCCAGCAAAACCCACCAAAATTAAAAAAAAACTCCCAAAAATTTCAATAAACCCCCCCAAAACCCAAATAAAATCCTCCAAAATCCAAAACCCCCCAAATCTACAAACCCCCCAAAATCCCATAAGCCCCCAAAACCCAATAATTCTCTCCAAAAACCCAATAATTCCTCCTAAACTGCCAACAAAATCCCCCAAAGCACAAAAAAGCCCCCTCAAAACCCTCTCAAACTCCCCCCCAAAATCCCCACAAATTCCCCCTAGACTCACTGGAGCTGTCCTGGATCAGGGGGCACCAGCCAGTGGAACAGGAGCCACTTCAGGGGGCACTTGACCCACCTGTCCCGGCCGCCCCAGCAGCTTCCCGAACCCTCCGTGCTCCCGCAGCGCCTCCCGCAGCGCCCGCCCGAGCCCGGGGCCGCGGCGGAGGGACGGGAACCCGCCTCATGCCCGGCCTCGGGGGTCAGAGGGCGCCACTTCCGGCTCGCCTCTAATTGGCTGGAGCTGCGCTGGGGAGGCGGGCGTTGCTGCGGCAAACCGCGCGGTGATTGGCTGGTTTGGGGAGGATCACGCCGCTATTGGTTGGAAGGGGACGGTGCCGCTCTTAGTTGGAAGAGGCCCGCGCACGCGGCGGACGCGGCCGCGGCGGCAGCAGGAGTCGCGGTAGATCGTGAGGGGAGAGCGGCTGAGGAGGGAGCTGAGGTGAGGTATGAGGGAATGGAGAGGTCTTAGATGGCTTTTGGGGGAAATGGGTGGGCTTTGAGGCGGGTCTGGGGGGAAGTGGGGGGTTTAGATGGCTTTGGGGGGAAATGGGTAGGGGTTGAGGCGGGTCTGAAGGGAAGTGGGGCGTCTGAGGTCGCTGCGGGATGGATTTGGGGGAAATTGGGCGGGTTTAAGAGTTTTTTTGCGGGGTCTGAGGGATAATTAGGGGGATCTCAGGTTGGTCCGGGGGGGAAACTGGGGGGAAAAGGGGGGGTATCTAAGGTGGGTCGGGAATGGGTTTGGGGGGAATTGGGGTTGTTTGAGGGGTTTTTGTGAGGAGTGAGGTGGATCTGCGGCGAACGTGAAGGGAATTGGGGAGGTTTGAGGGGGATTTGAGAGGCATTGGGGGCATTTGATGTAGGTGTGAGGGGAATTGAGTTGTCCGAGGCGGTTTTGGGGAGCATTGGGCGGGTTTGAGGGGTTTCTGAGGGGGATTTGAGGGGAAATGGGGGCTTCTGAAGTAGGTATGAGCAGAATTGAGTGGTCCGACGAGGGTCCAGGGCGGATTTGGGGGGAATTTGGGTGGTTTGAGGAGTTTTTCTGTTGTTTGAGGTGGATTTGGGAGGAAATGGGGCAGGGGGTGAAGGGGTCGCAGCCCTCCCAGAGTCCCCCTGTCCCCACAGAGCGGTCCCGGCCATGGCGGTGCAGGACCCCCGGCCCAACCACACCATCTACATCAACAACCTGAACGAGAAGATCAAGAAGGACGGTGAGGAGGGGGCTGGGGGGTCTGAGGGTGTCCGTGGGTGTCCCCAGGGGTTCAGGCTGTCCCCTGTGCATCCCCACTGTCACTGTGCTGTCCCCACTGTCACCATGATGTCCCCATGTCCGACTGTCACTGTGCTGTCCCCATTGCCAGTGTGCTGTCCCCACGTCTCCATTGTCCCCATGGTCACCATACTGTCACTCTGTCCCCAGAGCTGAAGAAGTCCCTCTACGCCATTTTCTCGCAGTTTGGGCAGATTTTGGACATCTTGGTGTCGCGCAGTCTCCGCATGCGGGGCCAGGCCTTTGTCATCTTCAAGGAGATGAGCAGTGCCACCAACGCCCTGCGCTCCATGCAGGGCTTCCCCTTCTACGACAAACCCATGGTGAGACAGAGACTGGGGGGAAATTCCGACATTTGGGGAAAAAAACTGGAATTCTAGGGAAAAGCTGCCAAAATCTGGCCTCAAATATCTCCAAAATCCAATTTGAATCCCCCAAATTCACCATGAACACCTCAAAGCTTCCCCTTCTATGACGCACCCATGATGAAACAGAAATTCTGGGGAAAAACACTGGAATTTTGGGGAGAAATCCTGGTATTTTGGGGGAAAAACCTGAATTCCTGGGGAAAAAATCAAAATCCAGCTGGAAATCTACCAAAAATCCTCTGGGAACACCCTCAAATCAAACCAGGAATCAAAGCTTCCTCTTGTATGACAAGCCCACAGTGGGACAGAAACTTAGGGAAAAAACTCTGAAATTCTGGGGAAAAAATGCCAGAATCTGGCCTCAAGTATCCCCAAAATCCAACCTGTAATCCTCCAAATTCGCCCTGAACACCCTAAGGCTTCCCCTTTTACAACAAGCCCATGGTGATACCCAAACCTGAGGGAAAATTGTGACATTTTGGGCAGAAAACTGACATTTTGGGGAAAAAATCCTGGAATTCTGGGGAAAATCCTGAATTCCTGGGGGAAAAAAAACCCAAAATGCAGCCTCAAATATCCCCAAAATCCCACCAAAAAAATCCCAAATCCTATTAGGAATGCACCAAAATCTAACCAGAAGCTGCTCCAAAGCTTCCTCTGCTACAACCAACCCCAGTGAGAACCAAATCCCAGGAAAAACCCCAAAATTCCAGGAAAACCCCTGAAATATAGCCAGGAATTCCCAAAGCTTTCCCTTCTATGACAAACCCGTGGTCAAACCTCGAATTCAACCTGGAAGCCCCAAAAATCTGTTGGAAGCCCCCCAGATCCCTCTTGGAGCTCCTCCATAATTTCTCTGAATTCCCCCAAATCCCTCAGAAACACCCAAATCCCTCCTAAATCTCTCTGAATTTCCTCAAAATCCCTCAGAAATTCCTAGATCCCTGCTAGGACTTCCTGAAATACTCCCAGATTCCTCTTGGAGCTCCCCCAAACGCCATCTGAAAATTCCAAAATCCTTTCTGGAACCTTTCCCAAATCCCTCAGAACCCTCAAAAATCCATTGGGAAACTCCAAAATCCTCCCCTGAAACCTCCTCAAATTCCTTCTTTAAATTCCCTAAAACCCCTCAGAAACTCCCCGCATCCCTCCTGGAATCTCCCCCAAATCCCTCAGAACCCCAAAAATCCCCCTTGGAAATCTCCAAATCCCTGTTGGAACCTCACAAATTCCTCTGAATTCTCCCAGAATTCCTTCTAGAACTTCCAAAAATCCCTCAAAAATCCCTAATTGCTCTTGGAACTCCCCCAGATCCTGTCTGGAACCTTGCCAAATCCTGCAGAATCCCTGAAAATCCCGTGGAAAACCCCCAAATCCCTCTTGGAACTCCCCCAAATCCTCCCCAGATCCCCCCAAAATCCTCGGGAACAACCCCAAAACCCTCTGAGCCATCCCCAAATCCCCCTGGACTGATCCCAGATCCCCTGGAACCACCCCAAAATCCCCTGGAACAACCCCAGATCCTCTCTGGAATCTCCCAAAATCCCTCCTGGAGATGTCCCAAATGCCCTGAAATGCCCCAATCCCGGGAATGTGCCATCCCAGCGGATCCAGTACGCCAAGACGGACTCGGACATCATCGCCAAGATGAAGGGAACGTTCGTGGAGCGCGAGCGGGATCGGGACCGGGAGCGCAAACGGGACAAGCGCAAAGCCAAGGGGGGAGAGGCCCCTGGCCCCAAAAAGAGCGGGGCTGGAGCACAGGGGGCCGCGCAGGGAGCAGTGCCCGTGAGTGCCAGGGGATTGTTTGATCCCACTGGGGTCATTTGTGGGATTGGGGTCGTTCATGGGATTGGGGTCGTTCATGGGTTTGGGGATCATTTGTGGGATTTGGGTCGTTCATAGGATTTGGGGTCATTCATGGGATTTGGGGTAATTTGTGGGATTTGGGATCATTTCTGGGATTGGGGTCATTGGTGGGATTTGGGGTCGTTCATGGGATTTGGGGATCATTTGTGGGATTTGGGGTCATTCGTGGGATTGGGGTCGTTCATGGGATTTGGGGTAATTTGTGGGATTTGGGATCATTTCTGGAATTGGGGTCATTGGTGGGATTTGGGGTCGTTCATGGGATTTGGGGTCATTCATAAGATTTGGGTTGTTCATGGAATTTTGGCATCAGAATCAGTGCGCAGGGGACGGTGCCTGTGAGTGCTGGGAGATTTATAGGATCATTTATGGGATTTGGGGTAATTTGTGGAATTTGTGATTGTGGTACGGGGGCCAGTGCCCGGAGTGCCAGGGGATTTATGGGATTGTTTTATGGGATTTGGGGTCATTTATAGGATTTGGGATCAGAATCGGGGCACAGAAGGCAGTGCCCGTGAGTCCCAGGGGGATTTCGGTTTGGTTTAGGGGATTTGGGATGGCTTATGGGGATTTTGGGGTTGTTTTGTGTGATTTGGGATTGTTCACAGGGCTTTTGGGATTGTTTAATGGGATTTTGGGGGTGGGTTTATGGGATTTGGGATTGGGGCACAGGGGGCAGTGTCTGTGAGTGTCAGAAATTTGGGATCGGTTTAGGGGATTTTGTGATCAGTCCTGGTGGGATTTGGAAGTATTCAGGTGGGGATTGGGGGATTTTTGGGATTGTGGGATTGTTCCTAGGGGTTTTGGAATCAGTTTATGGGAATTTGGGGCATTTCTGGGGAATTTTGGGGATGTTTTGAGGAATTTGCAGATGGTTCAGGACAATTTGGGATCATTTTGGGATTGTGGGATTGTTCCTAGGGGTTTTGGAATCAGTTTATGGGAATTTGGGGCGTTTCTGGCGAATTTTGGGGATGTTTTGGGGAATTTGCAGGTGGTGCAGGATGATTTGGGATCATTTTATGGGATTTTGAGGATTGTTCTTAGGAGATTTGGGATTGTTTAGTAGGGTTTTGGGATGGTTCCAGGGGATTTTGTGATCATTCCAGAGGGTTTGGGGAAAGGTTCAGGGGGATTTTGGGTTTGTTCCGGAGGATTTTGGGGGATTTGGGATCATTCCAGGGGATTTGGGGGATGGTTTTGGGGGATTCTGGGATCATTCCCAGGGATCAGGATTGTTCCTGGGCATTTTGGAAGGGCATGGGGAGATTTGGATGGGATTTTGGGGGGATTTGAGTTCTTTGGGTTCTTTTTGTGCCTTTGGGGTTATTTGGGTTCATTTTGAGGTTGGTTGGTGTGATTTTGGGATAATTTGGGGTAATGTTGGGGTTATTTGTGGTGATTTTGGGATAATTTGGGATAATTTTTCATGGTTTTGGGAAAAATTCGGGGTTTTTAGGGCCATGTGTCTGTGGGGTAATTCAGGGATAATTCTGTGTGGATTTGGCATAATTCCACATTGATTTGGGATTCTCGCTGTACTTTGGGAATAACTTTGGGATTCTGTCTGTTCCTTTGGAATGATTTGGGGTGTGTTGGGGTCTCTCCTCAGGGGATGTGTTTGGGATAACTTTGGGATTCTGTCTGTTCCTTTGGAATGATTTGGGGTGTGTTGGGGTCTCTCCTCAGGGGAT